AACAAATGCAGTCCACATAGCTCAATCTGAAAAACAGAAATAACAGACATTTTTTCAATTTACCAAACATGTTCTTTGCTTGCAATGATATTGGAACTAAATTTACTTCATAGGTGCTACCCTTATTCTAAAAAGTGGGTAGAATGTTTCCAAGTTCCAGTTGTTTCCTGCCTGGTGTACTGTGGTGTTTTTACCTTTCCCTGTATCTGCAGACATAAATAAAGCTAAACCTGCATGTTTCACTGTCCAAAACAACAAGAAATGTAGAGGATTTAAAATCAAAATCATGCAAAACTTTATTTCTTAATAAAAAACTTTAACAAACCATGAGACACACTTTTCTTTGGAGGATTGCAAATTCGAAAACAGACTTCCTGACACTTCTGAACTGCTTAGAGTCATACACATGAGGTATTAAAGTGATTATTCATCAAATCTAAATGTCTGCATGGGTGTGGAGTTAATGCTGATTACAGTTATGACAAGAATTTGATGTTGCCGCTGGCATTTAATGCCTCAGTGGGCTCAGTCTTGAGATTCAAACAGATAAACGTGTTGATGGTAGTATTGCTCATCTCTCTCTTTCTCTCATTCTCTTAGGGGATGATGTACCTGGAGGAAAGGCGGTTAGTCCACCGAGACCTGGCAGCTCGGAACGTGCTGGTTAAGTCACCCAATCACATCAAGATCACTGACTTCGGCTTGGCCAGGCTTCTGGACGCCGACGAGAAGGAGTACAACGCGGACGGGGGCAAGGTTGGTGTAAGTGAAATGCATGAGAACATCTTGATGTGTGTGAAGTGCTCAAAATAGTTGACCTAGAAGGTTGTGCGGTGAGTTAATGTTGAAGTTATGATCACAAAGAGGTTTAAAGGTTGTAACCAGGAAAGTAAGTAATGCACTGCAATCCAATCTAGATGTATGTCTCGAGAGGTAGCGGCTAAATCGTTCCCCTTCGTAGGATGATGTTTCTTTATGAACTGATTAATCGTCTGCAAAACTTTGCAGATTTTTACTTTTTAAATTGTTATTCTTTTTTTCAGGCAATCTCTTGTAGGGGTGGAATGGTTCACAAAATCCACGGTTCGGTTCACGGTTTCGTGGTCACTGTTTTCGGTTCGGTTCGGTATATGCTGATTGTTTGCCTGACATGTTGGTCGTGTTGCTGTTAGCATAAACAAAACATGTTGCACAATGCTTGCACACTGTTGCACTTTTATCCACAACTTTCTTTCCGCTGTCATCGTAGGTCACTCTAAATGCAAAGTGGTCTGAACCGAACCGTGGATTTTGTGAACCGTTCCACCCCTTATATATAATAAAAACACACATTTCTAAGTCAATAATTGTGTTTTTTTTTATATCAATATTCTCCAAATGGAGGTGAAATTGGGCTTAAAATGTTAGTTGATTTATCTTTATTAAGAAAATATATCAATTGTTAGATTAGTCTACTAATCGAACAAATAACTTAGACTTAGACTGACTTTATTGTCATTTTCTACACACAGAGTGTATACAAAAAGAAATTTCATTCAGCACAGCTCTGAAGACATTTCCATTTTTAAAGTGCAGCAGTGTTCAAAAGTAAGCAGCAGTGATGAAATGTAAACATCAGACTGGTATATAATTTACAGTTTTCAACATTCAGCGCTTTTATTTTTTAAACCCATTTTATACAAAATTCAGCAGTCTAATGGCAGCGGGTAGAAGATGTTCTGAAATCTGCTGGACCTGCATCAGATGCTTCCAAGTCTCTTTCCAGAGGGCAGCAGGGAGAACAGTCCATGGTGGGGGTGTGAGGGGTCATTTATGATGTCATGGGCTTGGGACACACAGCGCTGGGATGAAATGTCTTTGATGGAGGAAAGAGGAGCCTAA